AGCTATCATGCTGAGATATGAAGGAAATTTACCTGTGTATTACTAAGCGAAAGAAGCCAATAAGAAAAGGCTGCACACCCTATGATTCTGACAATATGACATTCTGGAAAAAAAAAAACTATGGAATAGTAAAAACATTAGTGTTTGCCATTGTTTAGGGGAGAGAGTAGGATGAATAGATGGAGGATTTCTATAGCAGTGAAACTATTCTGCATAATACTATAATTGCTGATGTAAGTGCTGACAGGAATAGGGTATCAGATTTAGGGTGAGAACAAGAAGATACGCCAATATCCAACAAGCATAAGAAAAGATGCTCAAGATGGCCAGTTAAGGAAAATGCAAATCAAAACCACAATAAGACATCATGTCATACCCGTTAGAATGGCCATTTTCTAAATAATAGAAAAATAACATTAGTGAGAATACAGAGAAATCAAAACTCTTGTGCATTCTTGGTGGGACTATAAAGTGGTTCAGCCATTATGGAAAGCATTCCTCAAAAAATTAAAAATAGAATTACCCTATGATGTAGCAATCCTATTTTCAGATGTATATCAAAAATAATTCAAAGCAGGATCTTGAGATATTTGCCTACCCTTGTTCGTTGCTACATTATTCACAGAAGCTAAGAGGTGGAAGAACCCAAATGTCTATTAACAGATGAATGGATAAGCAAAATGTGGTATATAAATACAATGGAAATATTATGCAGCCTTAAGGAGGAAGGAAATCTCATCACATGCTGTAATAACCTAGCTTGTGCTAGCCTAACTGACTCCATCTTAGCTGTAAGCCTGACATGCTCCATCTTAGCTTCTCCCTCCCTGCCTCAGCCCTCTGAGGTACATTACTGGGTCACACTGCACTCAAAGCTTTGAACTGTTAAGAGTGGTTCACACTGTTCACAGTACCTGTAGCCATTGTAACTGTATCTGGCTTGGCAAATCTCCCTGCTATTGTGAATACCCTCCTTGGTAATTGACTATATGGAAAGAGTTTGTGCTAGAGTGAAAGAACATGACATCCTGCTTTAATTAAACACAAACTCTCATTGAAACTTTGACAAAATAGGTCCCTTTCCAGATGATATTTTTGATATAGGATATACAAATAAAAAGTTTACATACATCTTCTAATTTTAACTATATATTTTCAGTAAAACTATGTAAGTAAATTATGCCCTGAAATGTCACAACAAATTTAGTGATCAAATTAGAAGATTTATTTATTTATTTAAGATGAAGTCTTGCTCTGTTACCTGGATGGAATATAGTGACATGATCTTGGCTCACTGCAACCTCAGCCTCCTGGGGTCAAAACGATTCTCCTGCCTCAGCCTCACAAGTAGCTGAGACTACAGGCACACCCAGCTAGTTTTTGTATTTTTAGTAGAGATGGAGTTTTACCATGTTGGTGTGGTCTTGATCTCTTGACTTTGTGATCCACCCACTGTGGCCTCCCAAAGTGCTGGGATTACAGGCATAAACCACTATGACTGGCCATTAGAAGATTATTTTTAAGACCTTGTATTTAAACATTTTGAAAGGGTGATTTTCAAAGAAATTTCTTCCATATATTTGATTGAGATATATAAAATATCCATTAACCTGGCCATTGAATGTTTTGCAGTTCTCAGCAAATTCTCTCATAGTGATTTTTATAATCTCCTGATAGCTTTATTTGAAAATAATTTTTCTCCATGGTTAGTGAATTTTTCTTTGTGATTCAAACTCTGTCCTTCAAGATCTTCAAAATCATCAGCTTTCAAAAATGATAAAATGATTCTCTTTTTAAATTTTTTTGAAATTTTATTATAACATTGGATGCGTCAGATTTCTATGGAAGATAATAACATTCACCTCTAATTGGGTTTTTATTTTTGTTCAGTGACTTAGATTTGAGTATATCCAACTGGATATAGGATGAAGTTCCCAACCTGTTAGGATCAGCGTTTTTTGTATTGTTGTCATTGTCTTTCTGTTTTAGGATAGAAAAATTTCTTTTTACATTTATTTTATTTTGATTATTTTCTATTTCTAGTTTAGGGTGAGGGATGTGGAGGTGGGGGTCTCACTCTGTCACCCAGACTGGAGTGTAGTGGTGTGATGTTGGCTCACTGCAGCCTCAACCTTCCAGCTCAAGTGATCCTGCCACCCCAGCCTCCCATTTGGGTGGGGCTACAGGTGCAGGCCACTATGAGCAGCTAATTTTTGTATTGTTTGTTTCTGTAGAGATGAGGTTTCACCATATTGCCCAGGCTAGTCTCAAAATCCTGAGCTGAAGTGATCCACCTGCCTTAGCCTCTCAAAGTGATGGGATTACAGGTGTGAGCCAGCACGCCTGGGGAGAAAATATTTCTTATCCTTAAAAACTGACTCCTTCTCTTCTATATCTTATACATCTAATATTGGGGAAGAGCATGCTCATTTACTTAACAATGCATGAATCATTTCATACTCACCCCTATGGGATCAGAATACTATTTCCTTGGTCTTAGTCTCTCATGTCGACTGAGCTCAATCTGGTAGCCTAACATTCCTGGTCTCTCTTTGTCTTCTTCTCCTTTCTAGAGGAAGGAAGAACAACAATGGATTAGTGAGTTTTCAAGAAGAACCTTACCTGAGTATGCTTACTGGTCCCTCACCTCCTCTTTACTTTTTGGCATTAACTCGCTAAGAAATGGGAAATCTGGCCAACTCTTTCTTGCTATAGTTTCGCACAGGGAAGCCTGGAAGGCATAGGTTATAACAGGGAGTCTTATTTCTGGGTTTCGAATTTTAGAAGACCACTTGTCTACAGATACAGGCAATTTTCTTCAGGATTAGCTATATCAATACAAAGTTGATATTTTGATCTACTGTCTAAATCTTAGTTCTTAATTGTCTCAACACTTGAGCTAAGAAAAAAGTACTAGTTATTGGACTTTCCCCAAATTCTCAACAGCATGCAAATCCCCAGTCCTCCAGACACTGGGTGTTCAATATTGCTCAGATCTTTGCTCTTTCCTCTAAACCATCTCTGCTTTGGTTTATTAGTTGCCTGGATTAAAGAAAATGCTTATTCTTTTTTTCTAGAGCCACCTACAATTCATACTTCACACTGATGCCAAAAATTATATCTCGAAGTAGAAATTTCATATCTTGGTATTTCTTTGCATTTTTATGTGTTTATTTCAGACTCCCGAGTTGATTTCACCTGGTTCTTTGTGGTAACTGTCTACTCTTCAGTTCTGTATCTGATGACTCACTCACTTGCATGCTTATCATATTGCAAGATATTCTCATGCCAAACTCTCATAGTATTTAAAATAAAAAAAAGTTTAATATATTTCCATGCATTCACACAAGTTTTTTTCTAATTGCCCGTAAAGACCTTGTATTATTTTTCACCTAGTCAGATGAGCTCATCATCCTTTGGAAGTCAGTTTAAACATCAGCTTGCCAAGATATCTTCTTTGACTACCTTCTGATATATGGTTTTCCTCTGTTTTCTTTCAGTAGGCTGTAAAATCTTCCATTTGTTATTTTATTCATCCATCCATCCATTTATTCACTTGTCATTGTTAGCATACCTACCATATACCATGGTCTTTGAATTGTGCTCGGGAGGCAGGAGTGAAAGATGCCATTCTTGTTTCCATAGAGTTATAGCTCTACCATAAATTAATCCCAAATAACTGTAATGAAAGATATATCTTCCCACCTGTTCACTAGACTGTAAACTATTTAATGGCAGAGATGGCATATTTGGTTTGTGTTCTGTGCAGGAAACATTTGAAGGGAGAAGAAAAGGCACACACAGAATGCCTTGAAGGGTAAATAAGGTTTATCTCATGTGAATGGCAATATAGACATAAGCAAATGATATAATAAGCAAATTAATATAATAGGCAAATTGGTATAAGAAGCAAATGATATAATAAGCAAATTGCAATGGGAAGGGGAGAATGGAAAGAGATATATATTATATATTTACACTCACCAGACTATGGAGGATTTACCACCAAACTGGGAAGCAACAGCCTGGGCTCCAGAGTTGGCCACTTGTCCATGCGCAGACGAGGAGAGGTCTCATGGAGCTTCAGTGCAGTCTGGGACCCTGGCTCTTTTTGTAACGAGTTGTTTGGCATGAGGTCCAGTCACAAGGGCCCTTCATGACTGAACTCAAGTAATACAAAAAGGTCAACTTGGTTTTGTGATTGCCTATTGGTTTTCAACAACTAACATATAGGAGTAGATTGAAATAGAGGTTGCTCTGAAACAACAGTGGATGAACACCCAAGTGGCTCACACAACCCACTCTGGGATTTGGTGGCGATTGTTTGTGTCCATGTTCAATTGAGTTCACATTTACTATTTGACTTCTCCTCCATAGTTTGGATTCTCCACATCTACCATGTACATGGCACAGACACGTTATCAATACACATTTATTGAATAGTAATAAATCAGTCAACATCTGTAAATGTCTTCCATCCTCAGTAATTTCAGAATTTGTAATCTTGTTCCAAATATCTAGATGAAGATTTCGGGTTTTAATCTTTCCTGAAACCTTGAATTTTAAATATGTGAAAATATGTGAAACAAAGATGAGGAGATGTTAGATTTATTGTAGCAGTGGAAGAACAAAGGTTATTTACCTAGTAGTTTAGAAAGTTATTTAGATCTTTACAGTGACTCTTAATTACAGAATCTGAAACTCTCTTGGTTCCTGCTGATTCTGTAAGTCCTGGTCTTGGGCCTCCCATTTATTTGGTCAGCTCTGAATAGCCTTTTCAGTAATTTGCATCTGTACCTTCATCATTTTTTATAATCAAAGACATTTATTTATTGTTACTAAAACAAAGCACCTCAATTTTATTTTAGCAGATTAGCAAATACTATCAACTGTTCTGTATGATGTTAATTGTGAGGCATATTTAGAAAGCTTTGTTGCGTAAAATCTTTAAAGAAGTAGAAAATCTGCTAAATGATGCCCGTGTATTATTTCTTACCAAGGTAATTTGCCAGTGGACCTCCCAACTCCACCAGAAACTTCAGTTCCTGTAACATTACCTCCACACAACTGCACAGACAGTGAATTTGTCTGCAGGTCTGATGGTCACTGCATCGAGAAAATGCAGAAGTGTGATTTTAAATGTGACTACCCTGACAAATCAGATGAAGCATCCTGTGGTAGGTGGATTCTTAAATTTTGTTTAAATATTACTACAAAATAGAGAAGAAAATGCAAGTGTAATCTCTATGTAATCACAGCCTAGTATCATATTTAGATATTTTCAACATGAGTTAGAGCAACTCCTTAACGTAACAGTTACTCATACAGAAAATTGTAATAGGAGAGTCAGAATGCATTTTCTACTAGGCCCAATAACAGGTAAATGTCTTTAGATTAATGTTTTGGATTCAAAAATATCATTTTCCCAAACTTTACTTGACTCTGGGAGTAGCATTTAGTAGCTCTTTCCATCCATTCCCTTTAATCTCTACTCCTCACACTATAAAATAGGGAATGTTTGAGGAGGAAGCTTTGTAGTATTGTCAAATTAATTAATTCATTCAAATTTTGCCATTGCCAAAATGCATATATAACATTAGTACTATTAAAATATGCAGAATTCATGAGAAAATCTGTCTTAATGCAAATGGGACCTTTATCCCTTGTGTCCTGGTTTTCACCTGCCAATTCAATGGCACCTGCCAATTCAATGGCTTTTACTAAATGGATCAAAGGCAAGTTATTTAACTTAAAAGTGGACTTCTCAGTCAAAGATGCAATCTGAGAGGAGAAAAATTAATCTGTATCTGAGTGAGCAAAGCACAAGATCAGAAGGGGTAAATACTTTGTAATATCGTTCCCTTCCCTGCCCTTTATGGAGTAGCCTGTGAATTGACTGTACCATCATATTTCTCCAGTGTCTTGATAATATTAAGGGCTCAAAACAGACAGATAACTCAGAGAGAACAATGAAACTCTTGTTTTATGTCAACCTTGTAAAGAAATTCTATGATTTAAGAAATCGAATGAGGTGCATATTTATTCTTTTTACCCAGAAAAAAAATGTTTCTTAATGTACAAATATACCACTAATAAACTATCTAATCTAGACTTAAAAACTCATAAAATCAAAGCTGACTCACTTCATGCATAAGATGAGACAGTAATTAACTCCGGCTAACCAGGGATTTATATCATGCATCACAGATGGAAAATAATACAGTGGAAGGTGTGGTGATCTTCAGACCTGCTCGTGGGAAGGCATTTGAATCCCCTTATGATCTTATATAAGTTGTAGTGTTTGTAAGAGTTTACATGAAACCTAATTAATGATACATAATGAGTATCTTTAGGGAATACCGAATTTCCTCTAAGTTCAACTTTGTCATTTTAGTAATGTCATTTATGATTAGATGGGAAGTTTTGATAAATTATTTAAATGTTCTGAATGAATGTCTACTATTGTTATTTTTAATCAAAGAATTTTTACAATTTTGAAAACATACAAATGATTCATTACCATTTTGTTTATGAATAAACTGAGAGCTTGTGTCCTTCACCCTTTAGTAAGATTAAATATTATGACAAATCTGCTCGTAAACTATAGAGGTTTTCTAATTGATTTTAACATTTTTGATAAAAACACATCACATGGCCACAGGCAGTGGTTCATGCCTGTAATCCCAGTACTTTGGGAGGTGGGCATATCACTTGAGTCCAGGAGTTGGAGACCAGCCTGGCCAACATGGCGAAACCCTGTCTCTACCAAAGAAAACGTACACAAAATAGCCAGATGTGTCTTTAATCCCAGCTCCTTAGGAGTCTGAGGCAGGAGAATTGCTTAAGCCTGGAAGCGAGAGCTGAGATCGTGCCACTGCACCATGGCCTGGGTGACAGAGTGAAACCCTGTCTCAAAAAATAAAATGATAAAGAACACGTAACATGAGATCTACCCTGTCAACAAAATGTTGAGTGTACAATACATTACCATTGACCCTAGTACAATGTTGTACATCACATCCCTAGAACCTATTAATCTTGTTTGACTGACACTGTATATTTTCCAATAGTTCTTTTAGAAGTCTATAGTTTATATCTTTTACATGATATGAAGAACAGAGATATATTAAATCCTAAATCCCTTCACAAGATAAACATAGTTATATAATCTGTATTAATGTCAGAGATTAACTAATATACCTGAATGTTATGATTAAAAACACTTTTTTAGGCCTGGCACTGTGACTCATGCCTGTAATCCCAGTGCTTTGAGAGGCCAAGGTGGGCAGATCATCTGAGGTCAGGAGTTCAAGATGGCCGACCTGGTGAAACCCGTCTCTACCCAAAATACAAAAATTAGCTGGGCATGGTGGCAGGTGCCTGAATTCCAGCTACTCAGGAGACTGAGGTAGGGGAATCTCTTGAACCTGGGAGTTGAAGGTTGCAGTGAGCTGAGATCACACCACTGCACTCCAGCCCGGGCAACAAGAGCAAAACTCCATCTCAAAAAAATAAATAAATAAAATTGAATGTTTTCTTTTCAGATTTTATATTAACTGATATCTCATATACCCATTTCTAAATGGTCATAGTGGTATGCTGCCACTCTTAATGCCATTTAAAAGCTAGAGTGCACGCCAGGTTTTCTATAGTATACGCAAGAACTTCACTGAATTGAATATTTGTTTTTTATTCAGCAGTGGAAGATTTTAGACAGACACATGAACACATTCAGAGAGAGAATTCAGAGAACAGTTTTACACGTAACCTGTACATTTTTAAAAATCCCTGGCCCTGTAATTTCCCGTGGTATTAGAATAAAATTTTTATGAGAGTCTGTAAAACTTTCTAGGAGACAGGTCCAATATAAAAGTTATTGGAAATCTCATTGCTTAAGCTGTAGTTGGGAATTTGCGATAACCCCTTCAGAGACTGGGAAAAGGAGAACAGACTGGTCAAAACTTGGAGATCGTGCAAGCAATGTAATTGTTAAGTTCAAAGAATCTGGCAGTGTTTAATGGAGATGCTTAAATTGCTGCTTTAGAAGCTAATTAAAATCTCACCTCTTCATGAAACCAGATTATTAGTATATGCATTTTTCCTATGTTTTCTTTCTGTAAATATTGGACTAGAATAAACCTAGATTTCTTTGAAACTCTTCCAGCGATTTTGCAAACCATTTGCCTAATTATTTCAATAATGTTTAAAAGTTACACTGTAATTAAATAAAAAGAGGAAGAATGTACTGATTAAGATTGTGAAGATAGTAATTTCGACTTATTAGCTCCCCTTTTCTTTTTCTACCCTGTCCAAGTTATGGAAGTTTGCAGCTTTGAGAAAGGAAGCCTGTGTAAATGGTATCAACCAATCGCAATACATTTACTTCAAGATTCAAACACATTCAGGTGGGGACTTGGGAATGGGATTAGCATTCATCACGGGGAAGAAAACCACAGGCCATTGGTGGATCATACAAAGTAAGTGACCACGTATTTTGAACATGTCTCTCGGGAAATATGTATTAAGTGCCTTCCAAATTTCTGACCCCACCACCTTATCCTAGGCCAATGCTGTCGTAAAGATGAATGTTAAGTTGAAAAGACCAAGTGTTTTCTTTTATACAAAATGGAAAACGTGTCAATTAAAGAAGCAATGAATGCTCTCATGAATCTCATAGAAATCAGAGAAGAGTATGAATAAGTGAACAGCATAATTTAATATCATCACTCTTTTAAAAGCTCTGTTAAGATGTTGTTTTAAACATGATCTATGCATTTCCTCCTTCCCAAACCTCTCTTCTCCTTCTTCTCTTTTCCATTTCCTCCGCCACCTCCTCCTCCCTTTTCATCTTCTTCAGCCTCCCTTTCTTCCCCCTCTCCTTTACTTTTTTCTACTTTTTCTCACTCTGATGTGTATTTGTTATACATGTATGAACACAGGTAAATATGCAGATTTTCAACATCGATGAAAAGGGTTTTCCACTTTTCCATAAATCATGCCATTAAATATTCATCATTATTTGCATTTCACTGTAAGTTCTTTCGACAATTTACTAATCTGTTCTCAACTAGTGGATTTTCCAGTGAATGTTATATTATCTCAATGTTATAAAATTGCTTCAAAGAAGAAATATAGTGGCTACTGTGTGAGAACCCTTTTGTAGGCACTAGAAATAAAGGAGTGACTTCAACAGATGGTGTTTGCTCTCATTAGGGAGACAGGCAGTAAGTCAATAAATAGAAGGTGTGGCAGGTACTGTAGCCATTCGGCTACACAGCAGAATGGAAACAAGGAAAGGGTTTATTAGTGATGGAGGGATTCTTTCTGAATGGAACCCAAAGGGAAAGGTCCTGAGCCAGGACCATGCCAGCATGGCTGGGGTGGGATAAGAAAAGCAAACTGCACGACAAATGTAATTTTTTCTTTATTGTATTGACTATTAAGGCTTTTTGTCCATTTTTAATTTTTTTCACTTTTGTGAAATGCGTGAATATTTTATAGTGTTGTAAGCATGTTTATGTATTTTATATACCAAACTTTTCTGTTGTTTACCACTTTGCTCTTTATGTATCCCAGGTAACAACTTAATTTTTATCACAGTGACTGCATGCCTCTAGTCTAAAAGCCTCAAAGAGAATTGACAGTCTTACAATGACAAACAGCTGTTTGTATTCAGTAATGTCAGTCCAAATCCCTGGAGATACCCTATTATGTCCTAAGATCATATAATTACTCCTCTATACTTTTCTCACTTTTATTAGTGACTGGTTGCAGGTGTTAGTCCATATTTATAAAAGAATATAGAGTCATTTCGTGATTCAAAAGCTTTAGACTTCCTCTGTTCACATACTCTTATGAGGAATGGAACTCTATTCCTCTCCCTAAATTTCTATTTCTCTCCTGCCCATCATTCCGACTGTGTATATTTATACATAGTTCTGTTTAGGTTTTTAGCTTAGCAGTATTCTGATTCTTTTTAAATTTCTAAGCTAGATATTGTATGACTGTATGACTATTTACTTTGTTAATGATATTTTTATGTGTAAATTAATAAGCTTCTCACCTTTCATTTTCTGTAGATGTTTCATGAACTTAATAATTTTTCCCAATATCAATTGGAATATCAACTTGCATTCCTCAAAACCAAGTAGGGGAAATGACTTATATTTAGTAATGGTGCTAGGATTTTTTATTTTTCATATAAAAATTATATAAATTTAAAAATTGTACCATGTTCATTTGTGTAACTATGCTCTGTGATGTTGAGGTGAAGACAAAACAATGCATTTCTCCAAACTTACTTCCATCATTAAGCGACACATGACTTATAGTTATATAGTTACCCAGCCTGTTTTTTATTAGGACTTGTTTATAGGTAGCAGAATGTAAGACATAGGTGGAAGTATTAATTTTACCTTAGAAGAAGGATATTCCTTGCTGTATAACAAGCAGAGAGAACGAATGTATTGGTACTGACTCAGATGGATTTATGAACTGAAAAAATTTAAGCGACATGACATACAAAGTAATGATAATTATAGTTTCCAATATTAATGTGCCCATCTTTCAAGTACAGGAGTACTAGAGTACCAATTTTTCAAGTACTTATCTCTTTTTTTAAATTAAAATATTTTTTTTGAGGAGTCTCATTCTGCTACTCAGGCTGGAGTACAGTGGCTCAATCTCAGCTCAGTCCCACCTCTAGTTTTAATTTTTGTGGATACATGGTAGGTGTATATATTTATGGGCTACATAAAGTGCTTTGATACGTGCATGCAATATGTAATAATCACATCATGGAGAGTGGGGTACCCATCCCCTCAAGCATTCATCCATTGAGTTACAATCCAGTTACTCTCTTTATTTTAAAAGGTACTGTTAAGTTGTTATTGACGATAATAGCCTGTTGTGCTGTCACATAGGTCCTATTCATTCTAATTTTTTGTACTCATTAATCATCCCCACCTCCCTGTCAGCCCCCTGCTACCCTTCCCAGCACAAGTATTCATCCTTTTCTGGCTTCTTTTTCATGTGTCATTTTCCTTACCTTTTCTTTACATTTTTTCTTGTTCATTTGCTCCTCACATTTACATGGGAATAATTATTTTCAGTAGGGATTTTGTGACCTCATTTTGTTCTTTGTTATCATTTATTTTGGTATCTTCTCTTTTTCTGACGTTCGGTAACTAATAACTTTCCCCTGTTTCACAGACCACAGTTCCAGTGAGTGCCCAAGTCCTGTGACATCCCATCTTTCTTCCTCTTATTCTGATAAATCCAGAGAAATGTTATTGCAGATATTCTTATGTTAAAGAATCTTGTAAAAATCTTTATGCCTTTTACATCCGTCTCCACAGTGAAAACTTCATAATCCCCACACTCTAGCTGCTGCTTCAAAGAAAACTAATGGTATCTCTGCTGCTCTGTCTGGGGCCTCCTTCTGGAGATGAGACTTAGACCCAAGAGATTGGCAATATATTTAGCATCCAATTATTTTCTTTAGTCTGATTTTCCTCCCTCCCTGCTTTTGGAACTCTCTTTTGTCATTGTTTTTGTTTTGTTAAGATGGTGCCAGCTTTTGATGTAATATTTTGTTTTTTGTTTTTTAAATTTTTTGCTTTAAAAAATTTTACTTTTTTCCCTTGGGCTGCTTCTCACACACACACACACACACACACACACAAAAGCAAAGGACACTTTCAGAAGGTTTTTGTGGTTGATATCAATAAATGGCATCTCATGAATAAGCTATATGTCCATCAAGAAAAAGTGAACTGGAATTTCACACATAAGTGGTAAAGGTAGAAGGGGCAATGTGTCGATGTAATAGAAGGTAGTAATATGTTTGTATTTACTCCTACCCTACCACCTCCAATAGACTGAAAATTTTCTGAGGAATCCCAGGAGAGATGATTTCCCAATTTGTTGCATTATTTTCAGGCGTCCAGTACATAATAGGGCTCAATCATTATTTGTTGAATGAATTGGTTGCTAATTAGCCTCAAATATTCGATGTTTTAGTTATAAGCTACAGAACACAAAATTAAATTTTAAATAGAAATTCTTAATAGTCATATAATATTTAACATATGGACTGTACATGACAATAAATCATGGAGAAGAGAACAGCCCCTAAACTTATATGTTCTCTCATTTTTCTCTTCTTTTCTCTCTTGGCTCTTTCCTCAGCCAAGGAAGGCTTGGTATTTTTTTCTTTCATCAAAAAAAAAAATAGTTCTTATGCATCAGATATCCTACTGTATAGCTTACAGTAAGATTCTAGGCTCAGTTTTCCAAATTTTATTGTTTATATTTGAAGGGAAACTTTTCTAATTTTAAAATGGCTTTTCTCTCTCAGGCATCTTGTTATAGAAATTTAAAGCCAGGTTCTTAAGGATATTGTTTCAGAAATATTCTCAAAATTAGTTTTAAAAATTGGAAGGCTTTGTGTCAGTTCTTTCTTCTCTCTTTCTCTGATCCCAGCTCTCTTGGAGACAAAGACTACTGGCTAAGTAAAGTAAGGATTATTTATAAGCAAGTATAAGGTTTAAAAAAACCCATAATAATATATTTCAAAATATTCTCTTGCTTTATAGACTTAAATCTAGAAAACCCACAGTAGGATACGAATATGCAGAGAAATTTTAATTGTGTAGTTGAGTCTTAGGCAAGGTCTTAAAATGCATATTTTTATCACGAAAATGACATGACTACTTGATATTCTACTTTTTTTTTTTGCATCCACAATTTAATGGACTGTCCGTGGCACATCTGACGTGAACCCTGTAATATAGAGTTAAGATTGCATCTCTATTTTCTATTTGTTTGTGGGGGAGTGACACCATTCCATGCAGCAAGTTTATTTATTTTTACATGAGTTAGAAAAAGGCATCTCTTCTTGTAGACCTAGGCATTTTCAGCACAGAGTTCAGTTAGTGGATTCTCCCTTTATATTGCTCATCAGGGCTCAGCTGAGGTCACCTGGTGTGATTTTTCTAGGATTGTAATCAACTTAGATAGTAATATTGCTCTCAACTATAATGCAATGGAAAGATAAAGTAAAAATCATTCAATGTCCATATCAGTTGCAATTTACATGTTTTTTTTTAGATTGGGGTTTCTATTTTTTTAAAATTATGTAGGGAAGGAGAATATTTAGTAGAAAAGTATTTTTCATAGTATTTTGAGGAAAGAACTATAATCTAATATTTTTTTAAAAAGCAGAAGCAGAAGCAAAATGAGTTTGTGCCCATTCATGCTTCAATAACTATCGAGGCAGTTGACAAAATCGTGAGTCCCTCCCAGCTGAGAAATTTTTTAACAAATTATTATTTGTTTATTTAATCAAGACACTTGGATCACCTGGAATCTGAGCCCTATAGTTCACATTTAAATCTGCTTAGAATATTTTATATTTGGAAGTCTTGTCTAATGATTCCTCTCAGTTTGTAATTTTACATGATCTCAGAATTCTGTA